ACAATTCCATAGACTTTATTTGATGACTTTTCATCAACTGGTCCACATAATCCTAAATCTGTAATATAACAATTACCTCCATCCATTAATATATTACCACTATGTAAATCACAATGGATTAAATCTTTTTCATGTATACAATATAATGAATAACACAAATACATAAAGATTGTAATTCTGTCTTTTAATGTTATATTTAAATGATTTTCTTGCAAATAATCCCTTAAATTTCCATCTGATAAATAATTTAAAACTATTGCATAATTTCCATTATCTGGGAATTTGGTTATACCATAACAAGGAACAATCAAGTGTGATTTAATTTTAAAATAATTCATTGCCTGTAATTAAATATAAAAATCAATTAGTATTATATAATACAGTATTGCTTGTTTTTATTTTAAAAGACAACTACTAACCTCATCAAAAAAGTTTTTTCCTGGATTACTTGAATTATTTAAACATTTTAATACTACTCTTGGAGCTCCTAAATAACTAAATTCCATTTTATTTTCATCATAATCAATTATTATTCCTTCTGTCCATGTAGCAGTATAAATTGAACTGAATCCACCTTCAGTTAGTTTTGTAACATCATAAAATTGCTCAAAAGATATCCATTCCAAAATATAGTTTGGTAAAGATGATAACATTTGACATTGTTGAATAAAATCATCAATTATTTTATTTCCAGATGTCCATGTAGTAAAAAAGTTCTGTAATTGTAAACTATTACAATGTTCACAGAATCTATCAGAATATCTTGTTGCTTTACACCTATTACATTCTCTTAGTTTTCCCAATTTATATGTTGCATTATTTAATTCAAACTCATAAATAAACTTTTCTTTACAAAATTCTTTTTCACTTTCAGAAAGCTCCTTGTTTTTTTTGACTAATGAAAAAAAATAATCTTTTGTACTTTCTCTATCAGAATTAGCCAATGCATTATTACACATTTCATTATTAATTTTAATCACAAAACTCCTTCTTTCTAGTGATAATGATTTATTATATTCGTTTTGTATTTCTATAGTATAATTCTTACTCGCTGTTATTATAAAGAAAAAAATTTTATTTAATTAGATGATGTTTTAATAAAGATAAGTTTATTTTGTGTTGTAAAAGTTAATGTATATTACAATACTTACACACTAGTTATTATAAAGAAATAAAAATAAATTTATTTCATTAAATGATGTTTTATTTTGTGTTGTAAAAATTAATTAATAATACAATACTTACATGCTGGTTATCATAAAGAAATAAAAATTAAATTTGTTTCATTAGATGTTTTAATAAAGTTGATTTGTGTTGTAAAAGTTGATTTATAATATAGTACTTACGATCTAGTCATTATAAAATAAACTGTTTGATTAGATGATGTTTTAATAAAATTTATTTTGTAAAGTTAATTTATAATATAATACTTACAATCTGGTTATATAAAGAAATAAAAATAAATTTATTTAATTAGATGATGTTTTAGATAAAATTTATTTTGCATGCAAAGGTTAATTTATTGTATAATACTCACACCCTGGTTATTATAAGGAAAATAAAAATAATTTTATTTAATTAGATGATAATTCTTTTGCATTGTAAAAGTTAATTTATAATAAAATACTTACTCCCTGAAAAATAAAAACAAAAATATTTAATTAGATAATGTTTTAATAAAAATTTTTTGTAAGTTAATTTATATAAATTTACCTTTATCTACTTTGGCTATATAAAGCAAAAAAAAAAAAAAAAAAATAAAATGAAATTATTTAATTAGATGATATTTTAATAAAAACTATTTTGTGTTGTAAAAGTTAATTTTATAATACAATACTTACTCCCTGGTTATTATAAAAAACATAAAAAATAAATTTGTTTAATTTAGATGATATTTTAATAAATTTTATTTTGTTATAAAAGTTAACTTATAACATAATACTTACAAGCTGGTTATTATAAAGAAATAACAATTAAATTTATTTAATTAGGTGATTTTTTAATAAAATTGATTTTGTAAGAGTTGATTTATAATAAAATACTTACTCCCTGGTTATTTATTATAAAGAAATTATTTAATTATTCTGTATTGTAAAAGTTAATTATAGTGTAATAATATAATAATAATACTTACTCCCTGAGAAATAAAAAACAAATTTATTTAATTAGATGATGTTATTTGTGTTGTAAAAGTTAATTTATAGTATAATACTTACATGCTAGTTATTATAAAGGAATAAAAAATCAAATTATTTAATTAGATGATGTTTTAATAAAAATTATTTTGTGTTGCAAAAATAAAAAAATAAAGTTATAATAATACCTTCTACTACAATTTCATTAGTATTTTCAACATTTTTTTCTTTATTTAATAGTGATATCAATAATAAATCAATAATCAGTAATTTTAAGTAATTAATAATTTTTTTAATTTACCCTCAAGCAAATCTCCAAAAACTTCATCATTAAGAGAATCATTTAATGAAGACATATTAAGGATATGACCTAAATCAGTTCCAGAACTCTAATGATAGATAAACAAATAATGGTACATTTAAAAAGTTGTTGTAACAATGCCAATTATTTGTTGTAGATGAAATGAGAAAATCTACCTCTTTATTATTCATCATTTCTAAATTTCTGGTGTTTTTGCTATAAAACCCTATTTCTGCAGGAGAACCAACCATTGCCCATATAATATGGGAAATATCATTTTGGTCTTCATCAAACCTATAAAAATAAATAAAAAAAAATTTTTTTTTAATAATAATGTTATCATTAATATAAGGATAGTATTATATGCATTATATGTATTAGATACATTTCAATGATTATTGAAAATCCATATCGATCAAAATATTTAAATTCAATGTTACTATAATAAAAGCATTTTTCAGAATTTTCATTAAAAATGGTTCCATAAATTTGATATTTATCACTTTTCAAAGGAGTTTTAAAATCAACCCTATAATATTTTATATTTCTATCTTCAATTTTAATCAAATCTATCATTAATATTTGATCTTTGAAAAGAAGTTCAATTTCTTTTTGCAATGATTCTTCTAATATTTTATATAGTGGAATTAGGTCAGCATAATAAATTACATCCCAAATTTCTGAATTTTCAGGCATTATTTTTATCCACTCAATTACTGAATTTCTTTTTGTTGTATGTCCATTTATGTTAAAAAAAAATTTATTATCAAAATTGATCTTCCTATGAATCTCATCCCATTCTTTTAGCATTTCATCAAGTTCTTTATTGTTGGTTATGCTTAATGGATCTATTGTTTTTTCAATTGTTTTTTCTGTAAATAAATTTTCTAAAAATAATATAATTTAAATCAATAAAAAAAATTTTTTAATTTAAAGATCAATAAATTATGTAAGTTTATAAATTTATAATAATTATTATCATTACCATTTAAATCCAAATGTTGTGTTCTTGATAATTTTCCACCTAATATAATTTTTTTACATAATAAATGACCATATTCATTAAATATAATTTCAAGTTCATGATAAGGATTTTCTGTATCTAAAGCCTTACGCACATCTTTAATTAATTCATTTGATGGTACAAAATTTTCAAAAGCCAATTCAATTTGTTGACTATTAATCTCATAATGAATTGTTTGTTTAGATTCTAAATTCCATGAATCTTTTACTTTTGAATTAATAAAAAGAGATTCTTGGCTGAATAACCTTATCATTTCATCATCAATAACTTTAATATTACTTTTTAAAAGATAAGAATGTAATAATGAATTTGTGATTGTCAAGCTGGTTTTTATAGAATCAGTTGGATTAATTTTATTAATTTTTGGATTTGTTGAAAAATTAAAAGGTTGGATATTTCCTTTTTTAATGCCCTTTTCATCAATAATCAATCCATATTGAAGTTTAAATTTCTCAATCCAAGATTGTAAATTTTCATCCTCAGGTGAATTATATTCAATTCTACAAGTTTTAACTTACACAAATGCATTAATACACAAACATTATTTAGTTATGATGTTTTGTTAAAATTATTTTGTATTGTAAAGTTAATTTATAATATAATACTTACCAGCTAGTTATTACAAAGAAATAAAAATAAATTTATTTAATTAGATGTGTGTTGTAAAAGTTAATTTATTATATAATACTTACATTCTGGTTATTTATTATAAGGAAATAAAAAATAAATTCATTTAATTATAATAATAATAATTTTGTGTTGTAAAAGTTAATTTATAATAAAATACTTACTCCCTGAAAAATAGAAATAACTTATTTAATTTAGATGGATGTTTTTAATAAAAATTTTTTTGTAAGTTAATTTATAATATTTACCTTTGTATAGTTTAGCTAGTTTGGCTAGTTTGGCTAAATATTATAATAAAATAAAAAATAAAATTATTTAATTAGATGATTCAATAAAAATTTTTTTGTAAGTTAATAATTTACCTTTATCTACTTTAACTATATATTATTTTATAAAAAATAAAAAATGAAATTATTTAATTATATGATATTCAATAAAAATTATTTTGTGTAAAAGTTAATTTATTGTATAATACTTACACTCTGGTTATTATAAGGAATAAAAAATAAATTTATTTCATTAGATGATGTGTTGTAAGAGTTAATTTATAATATAATATAATACTTACTCCCTAGTTATTAAAATAATTTTTGTTTAATTAGATGATATTTAATTTGTGTTGTAAAGGTTTAACTTATTACATAATACTTACGAGCTGGTTATTAAAAATTAAGTTTGTTTAATTAGATGATGTTTTAATAAGTTGGTTCTATGTTGTAAAAGTTAATCTATGGTATACATGTAATACTTACTCCCTGAAAAATTTATTAATTAGATGATGTTTTATTTTGTGTTGTAAAAGTTAATTTATAATAAAATTTATTTAATTGGGTGATGATTTTTTTGTTAATTATAGTATAATACTTACTCCCTGAGAAACAAAAAATAAATTTATAATTAGGTGATGTTTTAATAAAGTTTATTTATGTTGTAAATAATTTATAATATAAATATAATACTTACTCCCTGGCCATTATAAAAAACATAAAAAATAAATTTGTTTAATTAGATGATGTTTTAATAAAATTTATTTTGTGTTGTAAAAGTTAACTTTATAACATAGTACTTACGAGCTGGTTATAAAGAAATAAAAATTAAATTTATTTAATTAGATGTTTTTTAATAAAATTTATTTAATTAGATGATGTTTTTTAATAAAATTGATTTTGTAAAGCAAATTTATAATAAAATACTTACTCCCTGATTATTTATTATAAAGAAATAAAAATAAAATTGTTTTATTGGGCAATGGTTGTGTTGTAAAAGTTAATTATAGTATAATAATACTTACTCTCTGAGAAATAAAAGATGAATATATTTAATTAGATGATGTTTTAATAAATTTATCTTGTGTAGTAAAAGTTTATAATAAATACTTACTTCCTGGTTATTATAAAGAAATAAAAATAAGTTTATTTAATTATATGATGTTTTAATAAAGTTTATTTTGTGTTTTAAAAGTTAATTTATAATATAGTACTTACCAGCTAGTCATTATAAAGAGATAAAAAATAAACTTATTTAATTAAATGATGAATATTTTGTGTTGTAAAAATTAATTATAATATAAATACTTACACCCTAGTTATTATAAAGAAATAAAAATAAATTTACTTAATTAGATGATGTTTTAATAAAATTATTGTGTGTTTGCATTGCAAGAGTTAATTTAGAGTATAATACTTACAATCTATAAATATAAAATAAATTTATTTAATTAGATAATGCTTTAATAAAAATCACTGTGTTGTAAAAGTTAATTTATAATATAATACTTACAAACTGGTTATTATAAAGAAATAAAAATCAAATTATTAATTAGATGATGTTTTAATAAAAATTATTTTGAGTTGTAAAAGTTAATTTATAATGATACCTTTATATTCTTCTTCTAAAAATTCAATTTCAATTTCATCAGTAATTTCAACATTTTCTTTTTTATCTAATATATCTAATAGTGATAATATTTAAACAATTTATCAATAATGAATCAATAATCAGTGATTAATGACTTTTTAATTTACCATCAAGCAAATTTCCAAAAGCTCTACTAAGGATGTTATTTAATGAAGACATGTTAAAGATATCACTTAAATCAGTTCCAGAACTCTGATAATAAATAAATAAAAGTGTCATGACAATAAATTTTGTTGGTAGATTAAATGTAAGTATATTTGATGAAATGAGAAATTTACCTTTCCAATATTCACCATTTCTAAATTTCTGGTATTTTTGCTATAAAATCCTATTTCTGCAGGAGAACCAATCATTGCCCATCGAATTTGAGAAACATCATTTTGATTTTCATTAAACCTATAAAAAGTAATTTTTTTAATCATTAATATAAGGACAATATTATATGTAGACAATACCTTTCAATGATTATTGAAAATCCATATTGATCAAAATATTTAAATTCAATATCAAAGCATTTTTCAGAATTTTCATTAAAAATGGCTCCATAAATTTGATATTTATCACTTTTCAAAGGAGTTTTAAAATCAACTCTATAATATTTTATATTTCTATCTTCAATTTTAATTAAATCTATCATTAATATTTGATCTTTGAAAAGAAGTTCAATTTCTTTTTGCAATGATTCTTCTAATATTTTATATAGTGGAATTAGGTCAGCATAATAAATTACATCCCAAATTTCTGAATTTTCAGGCATTATTTTTATCCACTCAATTACTGAATTTCTTTTTGTTGTATGTCCATTTATGTTAAAAAAAAATTTATTATCAAAATTGATCTTGCTATGAATCTCATCCCATTCTTTTAGCATTTCATCAAGTTCTTTATTGTTATTTATGCTCAATGGATCTATTGTTTTTTCAATTGTTTTTTCTGTAAATAAATTTTCTAAAAATAATATAATTTAAATTAATAAAAAAAAATTTTAATTTAAAGATCAATAAACTATGTAAGTTTATAAATTATCATAATTACCATTTAAATCCAAATGTTGTGTTCTTGATAATTTTCCACCTAATATAATTTTTTTACATAATAAATGACCATATTCATTAAATATAATTTCAAGTTCAT